AGAGTTGTCTTCTTCATGTAGCTCATGCTCTCTTTCTCCCACCATCTTCTTCAATCTTTGCTCCTCCACTTGTTTTCCGGTTGTGATGTATGAGATACCACCAGATCAACGTCGGTTGAGCTAGGGTCCCACAGACGGCGCCAATTTGATATGGTCCGAGATCGGTGGCTCCGGTCTGACGGAAGGTTCTTCCCGGTTATGGCGTGGTTCACTTGATTCGATCCGGCCCAAGCTTGCGTGTTCTCCGGTACCTGAAAGCGCGCCGGAATTTCTCCGGCGCAAGCCCTCTGACGCCCAAGTTAGGATCTCGGATTTAGAGAGAGAATTGTGTGTAATAAATGTTGTAGTAATGATATTAATGAAGTCTTACCTTCTACTCTGGAATTTATCGTATATATAGTATTTAGCTGTACGGACTACGTAGTAATCGGCGTTACTAAGGGTCAAGCCCGAGTTGGTGTTCGACCTCTTCTCATGGGTCGCCTCCAATTTCGTGGTTTGACCTTCTCGTTGGTTGTTGGCCCTGCCCCATGCACTCTTACGTGCGTCGACCGTTAGGCCCAATAGGTCGAGGGTTTCGGGGGGTCGAGGGTTGAGTAGGGGCCGAGGGTTGAGTGGGTCGAAGGGGTTAAAGGGCGTAAGGGTCGATAGGGTTGGAAGGGTTAAGGGTCGAGGAGTTTGAGGGCTAAGGGTCGATAGGGTGGGAAGGGTTAAGGGTCGAGAGTGTTGAGGGTCAACCACTAAACCGGTCGAGCCCCTCTAGACCCGCCACCGTTAGGTCGAATCCCTTGCATGGCTCGGCCCTATACTTGTGATCGGTCTCACGATTCGTTCGGCTTAACATTATGGGTTTGTACTAAAGCGGACCGAGTCGGTATTATAATCCCTATCAGAAATGACACTCTAAAGTATAATACAAATAAAATTATGATATTTAATAATATAATATATTATTATGCATATTCGTTAAGTAAATATGAATAATCAATTCGTTTAACAATTAAGTCATCTTACACAAAATTTTTATTTAAAATATCTGCATTTATAGAATGCTCAAAAATACTCAACATATACACCTAGGCTCGACTCGATGCTCGATATAGCCATAATTCGTTCAAAATTTTAACAACTAAACATTAAATATTGAGGGTACTATTTTTAATTTAAATAGACAATTTTTTTGCCTTGGTGTTCTAATATTATCGATAATTAAACTATAAGTGGTATTTATATAATTTATAAATCAAGCAGCTTGCCGAGCCTCTTGAAATAGTGCTACTCGTTTGTTCAATTAAATTGCTCAAGCACCACTCGAGTCGAGCACTGACTCGAGCGTTCAACTCATTTGCAGCCCTTTATACATTCACATGTGTCTCTTATACAATTTCAAAAATAATTAATGTATATAGGTATACATATTTAATTTAGTTTCTCAATCAAACTTGAGCAAAATCGACACGAGCATTAAATTCTTAATATTTTTAAGAAAGTATATAATTCAAATTCAAACAATCTCATAAATCTAATTCATGATAGTGTACTCACACACACTCACTAATAAGTAATTTCCTCAAGCCCAACCCAATATATAAAGCACACCTCCCTCGCAAAAAGAGAATCGTTCACACACACACACACACACTTCACACTTGACACACACTCTCTCTCTCTCTATCCTTCTTTCTCTCTCACACACACACACACACACTGTGTGTCACAGGCGTGCTTTGAAGCTTTTGATTACAGAGTAACTCCCCACACCAAATGAGTGCCCTTTGTTCAACACGAAACACACTGCTGCGTGTTTCTGTGTGCGCCTGCAAATCTCTCTCTCTCTCTCTCTCTCTAACCATCATTCTGTTTGCCTCCATTGATACACACTCTGTTGCAGCTTTTGCCTCTCTCTAACCAGACACTAAGCTGCCTTTTTTTTTTTTTTGTTTTGAAATATAATTTGCTGTGAAATTATATAAACAGCTGAAAAAACGATGGCGATTGGGATCTCGCAGTGTAACTACAACTTACCTTCGTTTTCTTCTTCGCTGCTTGATGCGATCTACCGCTCGATCGACCAGGGAGACGACGAGATGGTGATTTACAGGGAATCCGCCGCTGAAAAGAAGAATCGCGGCGGCGCCGGAGTGTTTACGAGCGAGGAGGAGATGGCGAACTTTCGACGCGCCTGCATGATCGAGAAGTGGATGGAGAAGAAGTCCGGCGAGAAGACCGCCGCGAGGAGGAGATCCGTCGCCGATCTGCAGATGAAGAAGCCTCGGAAATCGGATCGGACGACGGAGGTATCCAGCTGGAGCTCCTCCGATTCCGAACCGTTCCCCCTCCCGAGGCCGAAGCCGGTTCGGACCGGCGCCTCGGGCGTCGAGAAGGAGAAATTCCGGCAGAACCTCCGCGATCCGGAATCCAACCCCCGCGGCCGGCTCGGCGACGAGTCGGATCCGAACTTAAAGCTCGCCGGAGGCGGCGGCGGCGGCTTCCTGAAGACGAAGTCCCGCGCGCTGAAGATCTACGGAGACCTGAAGAAGGCGAAGCAGCCGATCTCCCCCGGGGGAAAGCTCGCCGGGTTCCTGAACTCTCTCTTCGCCGGCGCCGGGAAACCGAAGTCCGCCGGCCGCGGCGACCACCACTCCCCCTCCCCGAAATCGACCAACACGTCCACTTGCTCGTCGGCGTCCTCCCTCTCCAGGTCATGCCTCAGCAAAACGCCGTCGTCCAGGGGTAAATCGTCCAACGGCGGCGGCGGCGTGAAACGGTCGGTCAGGTTCTCTCCCGTGGGCGCGACCGCAGGGAATGATTCTCACAAACCCGCTCACGATAGCAAAAGCCACGCGAAATTCGAGGCCGTAACAACCCAAAGCATGAGGAACGCCATCAACGACGAGCTCATGGCCCATATCATGGAGAAAAACCTCCACGTGGAGGGCGTGGCCAGGGACCTTCTCACGACCTACCAAAGGAAGATTCAATTAGTCGACTACTCGAGAAAATCGCGCCTCGATAACCGATCGTTCGATCGAGTTTTCGAGGAGGACGATGATGACGTGGCGAGTTGCGCGAGCTCGGATTTGTTTGAGCTCGACAACCTTTCGGCCATTGGAATGGAGAGGTATAGCGAAGAGTTGCCCGTTTACGAGACGACTCATCTGAATCAGAATCGAACGAGTCGAGCTTCCGCAAACGGCTTGATTTTCTAATTAATATTAGAAGAAAAAAAATGGGGAGGGTTATTGTAATTTTCTATCTTCGTTTTGTATGTTTGTTAATTGGTTTGGGGTTTACTTATCAAGGTGTGGATTAATTTAACTTTTAAGAGTGTGGTTAATTAATGTTGGTATAATTAATTGGTATAGCTAATATTGTGTAATTAATTTGATTAGTTTGGTAAGCCAATGTTGTAGAGATTGTGGTTTTTGATTATTATGCATTGTATTTCCACTTTTATTATTTTATAAGTGAGTATTGTAATTTTTTTGCTTTCATTTTCTATCTCATGACTTTAGTATAGTCTTATTATAATGAAAAGGTAAATGGATGTTTGTTATGTGTATTTTTCACTGTAAATC